GGAGAAAGTCAATGAAACATAAACATTCTCACGGGCTTCGCCCTCATCGCTTTGCGGTCTATCTAACTTCTTTCTTATCTCATCTATTCTCAATAAAATGTCTGAACAATTGCTAACATCTTCTACAACAGTTATTTCATCATGAATGACCTTCAAGAACAAGCTCATTTAATATGCTATTAAAATCATCTCAATAATGAGTCCATCCTTTCCATCTTTAGGTAGCACAACATCTTTCATTGAAGAAGGTTCGACAAGTCTTATGTTAAACTTACTGACAAAGTTTGTTATACTATAATGCTTCGGCGGCGAATACATATAGTTTGAAAGACATAATATAGATTTTTCAGCAAATTCACTTATACTGGATTTTATAACAATGTTCTCACGAGACCAAATGCCACCAATTGAAAAACTTGTAAGCAATCCTGCTGAACCTTCTACTGTAAACGTCGATGGTAACATTCCACGAAGGTCATCTATTGACATCGTTGAGTCACTGTATTTAAATATTTTCTTAAAGCAATCGTCATTATCTAACCATGCAATAGCTTTGAAGTTTTCATTCGAATATACATCTGCTTCATTAAATGTAAAACCTGACTTCTTTGCAGAGATGACTTTAAAATCTATTGAGTTTGTTTCAAAATTATATGCTATGGTAACTTCTGAAGGTAATGGGTGTCCTTCTGCTATAAGTTGTTCTTTCACTACCGTTTGAAGCTTTGTGTTAAAAACTTTCATGTCATCTCCTGTGTCTAGGTTCACATACACAGCAACAGGAAAACTATCTTGCTTCTTTGTTTCATCATTATACCTCAAAACATTAAAGTTCTTCAATAATATTGTCCTTCCTGCTGGAATACTTCGAACCTGTCTGATTTCAATAGCTTTCTCACCTCCTACATACTCTACCCAGTGTCTTGGATATTCATAAGTATACTGACTTTCTTGAATTTTGGTAGGTTTCATCATAACGTGTTCATAGTATATCTTTATACTCTTGTCAGTTAGACTCGGTGCTATGTTCTGAATATTTCTGACTTGCATTTTTAATGGAGATAAAATGAAGCATTTAATACATGACGTAGATGAAGACATGAATGAAACCACAGATAAACTTAACTCTTCTCTCATTCTTCCTTTCAGCAAAGATTATGAGTTCTGTTCAAATGGTGTGTATTTCTATTGTGGAAAGATGGGGTCAGGAAAGACATTCAACCTCATTCGTCATATACTCATAACAGAACGTTTAGGAAACGACTCTTACTATGACCAAATCATTATATCAGCAACTTCAGACTCTATGGACTCAACAGCGAAAACATTTATGTCAAAAGTTCAAGCCTCTGTCGTTAAAGTTCCAGACAGTGAACTCATTGAATTTCTTCAACGTTACATTCGACGTAAGAGGAAATATTATGCCATCGTTGAATTTATACAATCAGGAATGCAAAAGACTTCTGAGGAGATGGAAAGAATTATTGACAAACACCACTTACGTCAATACTCAGGAGTTTACGATATGAAACGACTGACAAACTACATTCTATCAAAACTTTCAAAATACCCCTTCAAAAAGTATCCTTCAAACACTTTATTAGTTTGTGATGATTTCGCTGGTAAAGGTTTAGTGTCAAAGCCTGACTCACCATTAGCTAACATCATAACTAAAGTCAGACATTACCACTTAACTGTAGCAATACTTATGCAAACATGGCGTTTTCTTGCTTTAAACATAAAACGTCTCATAACTGACTTCGTTATCTTTCAAGGTTTCTCACGCTATGATATTGAACTCATTTGGAAACAGTCAGGTATAACATTACCTTTTGAAGAAATTTGGGAAGCATATAAGTCTCTCATCTCTCCTCGTTCATACCTTGAGATTCATATCATGACTAATACCATTAAAGTCAAAAATATTCCATGGGAACGACCAACATTGTTTTAAAGTTTAACCTTCAATTGACTGATGGTAAACAAATTCCATGCATCTCTGTCGCCATTTCTGTTAATATTTTTGCTGTCATTCATATCATTCACTTCCCCATCCGTTAGCTTTTGAGGATATGCGTTAGAATAGCTGTTCTTAAATGAAGGCTTTTCACCTTTGAGAGCATAAACTCTATAACTTTCTGCATACTTTATGTTTGAACCTCCTGAGCCATCATTGACATAAATTTTTATAGGCTTCCACCCTTTGTTCATATTCCTGCTTCTTCCCTTTGCTCTTTTGTTCAGTAGTTCTACATCTTTATACACAGCTCCTGTCTCAGTGAATTCAACAATATTTTCATTCGTTAGCTTTACATTCAAACCCTTGTCGAGTATATTGTTCATTTCATACATATAAAAGGTTTTTATTCTATATGAAATGAGAAGCAAATCCATCTTAGCTGGTGCCGTTAATGTTCCAATTGAACCAACATCAAATGTTGACTCACGAACGACAAACAATATTGTCATAAAGAACTATAGTTCGGAGTGTTTGAAAGAAAAAGAACCAGAGCTGAAATCCGTGAATTTAAACAGCTTCAAACGCTAACGCTACATCAGATGTTAAGTTAGAGTATCCACCACTGGACCAAATTCTTTCAAGAGAAGCCAACGACAACCCTTACATAAATGTTCAAACAAATCCTTCAGATAACGTAGACCATTACCTTCTTCAGTTATACCAAACAATTTTACTCAAAGACGATAAGAAGCTTTTGATAAATCTTATAAGTAAGAACCAAATAATTCTAACAAAGGAGGACCTTGAAAATGTTATATCACGAATAACAGGAAAGCAATGTGTCATTGACTATCTCGACCCTGAAATCGAATGCTGTGGTCAAACGCCAATATTCATGAAAATAGGTAACATCCGCATCATTGAAACACCAGGAACTACAGGAGTTGAGTTTAAGTATAAATATTCGAACGAGTATACAAAACTATCTACTGACTATAAGCTTTGTTTGAAATATGTTTTAGTAAATTAAAGCAACTTATAGTATCTATCCAAAACTTCTTCAACAGTATCGAACTCATCTTCATAATGCAAACCTAATCTTATTGACTTGGTGCAGTTTTCACTAACACAATATTTTTCTGTTCTCTTGACTGACATAACTAACTCATTTGTTTCATCAAACAGCAACAACCAAAGTTCATGACCTAATACATAACATTCATACTTTATATTTTTAGCTCTGAGTTCTCTTGTAAGCTGTTGCATTTAATATTTTCTAAAAAGTCAACTTCAACAGTCATTCGCACTGGTGCCTTCAGTTCTACAGGCTCTCCTTGAAAGTCAACAAGTCTGAATTGCATGTCTTTCAAATTATGAGGACTAATGCGAACCCATTTACCTAAATGAGTTGCTATGACAGGAACGTTTGGAATGAACATTGAATTGACTGCATAACAGAAGGATTTATATTCTACTGAACCTTTACTATTAACTCCTGAAATACCTGTGACATTAGCTATTTTTGACTCAATGTACAAACAATTACCATAACATACGTATGGAACAGATTTCATCTCAATCGTTTTGTCAACACTTTTCAAAGGAAATGTCATATGGTATGCTCCCAAAAGAAGTTGTACTCTATGACTCATTCTTGGTATCTTAAACTCCTTCGCATAACTGAACTTCAAAACTCCTGCAATAAGTTTAACATTCATTAAGTTTTCTTCGTTATCCTTGTTTATTGTAGTATTTATGAGAGCATTTAACACTCCAGCTAATGTTTCCATCTTATATTCTACATTATTGTGAAATCTTATTTCGTGCTTCTTTCCATCTATTTCAAGCTCCATGAAATCTGTTTCATCTGTTATAACGAATGAAGCGATAGTATTGAAGTCAACCATTCTGAATGCAAGCGCCTCATTCTGTAGACCTAAGTTTGTTTGTAGCTTTACTGTCCCGTATTCGTTTGGGTCTGTACTTTGCAAATAGAACAACATTTTATTCTCATTAAAATATGAGTATAGCTGCATATGCGTATGAAGCTGACAGAGCTAAACGTTTATATTTTGGTCAATACTCTCTCACACTTACTGACAAATATATTGTTATCAGTGATGGAAATACCGAGAAATACATAACATGGAAGGACTATGAAAAGTTTGACCCTATTTTAACTCCATGTACTATGCCATTCATTGTAAATGGTGAAGTTGTCATGAAGAACGACACAACAGTATATAAGTCTGTATATGAAGCGTTAGAATATATGTTGAATTATAATCCCGAAAGATTTGACCCAAGCACTACACCATGTGCAATGCCTTTTATTAAGGACGGTGAAATCGTAAGAGTTCCGGATTCAACGGTTTACACAGCTGTTCAAAACAGTTTACAAAACATTTTAGCGAATATCTTTAATTCAGAAACTACAGAAATAAAATTACCATATATAACAGATGCTAAAGAAATTAAATCAAAAACGACAACATTATTTACGTCACTTAATGATTTAATGACTTATATCATTAATATTCCTGCACCAACTACAGCATTTGATCCAAACTCGACGGTTTGCAGTGTACCTTTCATAAATGACAGTTCATTAATTACTTTAAGGGATTCGACAGTAAATGAATCATTAAAGGCGTCATTAATGAAAATCATTGATTTTAATTCATTCACGAATACATATAATTCATTCATTAATGTTTCATATGCTTCTAAAGAAGGTGAGCCAAAAACTATCAATAAAGCGGTGTATGAAATAAAAGCATCAACGACGAAATTGAATTCGTTAACTTTTGACGGTGATAGTTTCGTTAATGACATAACATCGGGGAAAACAATTTTAACGAAAGAATACTTAAAATCTCATGTTAGTGAGTTCGTTGAAATTGAAAAAGAAGGTGGAATTAAGTTCGATCCACTGAATTTCATTTTCAGCTTAGCGAATGCGGGTGTTAGTTTCGCTGAATGGACAACTATACAGAGTGAAATAAATGCAATATGGACGTTTTTGGGGTCAAAAGCGGGAATGGGTGAGCTTGTAAATGCTGCAAGAACATTAGGTGAAACAGGAAATTTTGTAGATGGTTTTAAAAGACTTGTTTCAAATGTTTTAACAAACACAAAGAAATTATTTAGATATACCGTACATAACGGACGGATTTTCGAACAGATAGCAACAAACCCTCCGGTTATGGCTGCGTTGATGATGGTTAGAGATATAAAACCACGTAACGACGGGAACGAAGAACATGAACAACAGGATACTGGTCGGGTTATTCGAGACATTAAAAACGTGTATCCTGAAGTTATTGATTTATTTAGAGGAGTTAATGATTCAATTTCAAAACATTCTATAACCCTCGATGAAGAGAATAAATTAACAGATTATATATTCGTCATTATTGCAGAATTAATGAAGAGAATAAATGAAAAAGGAATTGGTGATATCATTAATGTCAGCGATGTAATGATGAAAAGAAATTTTGACTCATTATTTACAAAACCGAAAACAGAATATAGTCTTTATGACGTAATTACCGAATTAATGAAAAAGATTAATGATAATAAGAGTTCTGGCGGAAGAGTTGAATTAGAAGTGAATGATGTTAATGAGAAATTAGCCGAAAAAGCAGACAAAAATGAGCTTTTAGCTCTGAGTGATAAAGTCAAGAACCACGTTCATTATATAACTTCAGACGAACAGATTATAACGGACTACCATGGATATTTAACACGAAGTGATGAAGTGAAGACGGAAGATGTTAATGAAAGAAGATATAAATACATTCGTGCTAAAGGTTATGACATAAGCTGTACTGTACAGTATGACACGGGTAAAGCACCAGAAGCATTTAGTTATAACGATGAAATTTATGCCTCTACTTTCTCTGTTAAAGGTGTATTAGTTGAACCAAGATTTACTTTGAGAGTTAAGTCAAAAATAACGTTTGAAGATGCTATTAAAAGTAAAGCTGACAAAGTTGAACTGAAGCAATGAACAAAGTTTTGAAATCTCATAAACACAACATCTCCGATATAAATGAACTTCAAGCTACATTAGACAGTAAAGCGACAAGAACCATACACATAAATCCTTCACTACTGTTAGAGCAGACGACATAATATTGAACTATACCCTTGGTTCAAGTGCACCATTAGAAAATCCAAGTACAAGCGTAAAAGATACACTAAACTCCTTAAATAACAAATGTATGAACATTGAAGGTCATGTCAGAAACTTTGAAACACATGAACTACCAGCAATGTTAGATAAAAAAGCAGATAAAAACATACACATAACTCCTTCTCAACTGTTGCTATAGAAAGTATTGAAGGAACGGTTGGCGGAACTGGTGGGAATGCATTATATTATAAACCTCCTAACTTTCCACAAGGTTTAACATCGAATGAAAACATAACAACGAAGAAAGAAATTAGCTGTAAAAATGTTTATGTCATGGACGATGAAAATAATGTTAAATTCACTGCTCAAGATTTATATGATAATAAAGCTGACAAGAACCATACACATAAATCCTTCACTACTGTTAGAGCAGACGACATAATATTGAACTATACCCTTGGTTCAAGTGCACCATTAGAAAATCCAAGTACAAGCGTAAAAGATACTCTTAACAATTTAGATAACAGTTGCAGGAATATCGAAGATCATGCCAGAAACTTTGAAGCATATGAACTACCAACAATGTTAGATAAGAAAGCAGACAAAACAGAGCTTCAAACATTAAAGACAGAAATACTTCAAACATTATATCCTATAGGCTCTATTTATACGTCAATAAACTCAACAAATCCATCAACAGTTTTAGGTTTTGGTACGTGGAAGCAGATTGTAGATAAATTCTTATACTGTGCTAGATATTCAAAGCAAACAGGAGGTTCGAAGAAAATTAAAGAAGCAAACCTTCCACCGCACACTCATACAGGAACGACAAACTTTTCTGGCGACCATAGCCACTCATTAAGAGACCACCCATTATACAACTCAGAATATGAAGCTGGCCATGACGTTTTATCTCCAGACTATAACAATTCAGCAAAAAAGACTTTTCGACCAACTGAACCAGGAGGAAATCATGTCCATACTTTCACAACAAATCCAACAGGCTCGGGTGCAGATTATATGCCACCATTTGTGACTGTATTCGCATGGTACCGCGTTCAATGAACGCGCTTGAGCCTAGAATAAAATCTTTAACTTTACATAAATGAGCTTGAAAGAAGTATTCGAACAACATCCATGGAGGTCATTTAAGAAGTTCAATGAAGCAGCAAAAAGTTGGGGATTTACTAACAGAGCTGAAGTTAAAAAGTTCTTTGACAAAAATGTTGTACATCAAACAAAAATAAACCCTTACGACTACTTTTTACCAATTTACTCCAACACTCCTGACGCATACCAATTTGACACTCTCATTCAAAGCAGAAAAGGAGGACATAAACCATTCCTCATCTTCATTAATGTTAACACTCGCAAAGCTTTTGCGTATATAATGAGGAATAAAGGAACTCGTGAAGTGTTAAGAGTTTTACAAAAGTTTGTAGCAGAACATAGCCCAAGTACTTTAACATCAGACCAAGACAGTGCATACCTCAGCAATGAAATCACAGATTTTCTCATGAAGCATAACATAACTCACTACACTACTGAAGACCATAACCATAACATACTCGGTATCATTAACCGCTTCATAAGAACGCTCAGAGATTTAAACCAAGAGCGAGACTTTACCGAAGAAACAATGAAACATTTTCTCGAAGTATATAATTCCTCAACACATTCTACAACAGGACATACACCAAATTCAATTGACACAACAACAAGAAGAAAAGTATATACAAAAGAAACGAAGTCAAACACAAAATATCAGAAATTCAACACAATTTACCCTCATTCCTGGTACAAAAAGTTCGTGTAGTTCTTGACGACAAAACCGTTGACAAAAGAAACGTTTAAGGTTAAGTCGAAATTATTATATCGTAGACTCTACGCAAGGTAATGGATATCTTATAAAAGCTGCTGACGACTCCATAGCGTTTTACCCTCGTCATAAATTAGTCGAAAGTAGTAATGGCAAACTTGCTGAAATCATTGACGAAGCAAAGCGAGGAGTGGTTATTGAAATACTTGGCTATAACACAAACGATGACACTTATAAAGTAAGATATGAAGGAGGGCGTTGAAGATGTTATACCATCTAAGAACTTGAGAGAGTCGAAGCCAACACATCTGGGACCATTAGAGCGGAGTACTGGAAAGACAAAAATATGCCAGAAAGAATAAGAAAATTCTTCTAAACTTTTTCATTAGATGTAAATCAGACAAAAAATATATTTTAGGTGAAGAGGTGAGATTTCACCTAATTTCTCACCTCCTTTTTCACCTCCTTTTTCACCTGTTTTCTCACCTGTTTTCTCACCGCTTAGCGGCTCAGATTGCTTTTGCTTTCTCGTGAATTTTCATGAATTTCCTTAAGATAGAAAAAATAAAGTTAGTTTTATTTTTATTTATTTTTTTATTGCAATGACATATATAAATCTGAGGAGTTTAAGACTTACGATAACTTTGTTTCATTAGTTGCTGAATGTGTGTGGCAGATAAGAGATAAAGATAAAAGATGTAAAATATGGAATGGACAAATAAAACCAACAACTTTTGAGTTAAAGAAAACCATTGACGCCTTAGTTGTTCTAGCAGGTCAAATTTCAATGTATAACGCAAAAATGAATCCGCAATGTTCAAAATGTAAAGCAGCAATGAGGAAATATAACTACTCACTAAAAGAGATAGAACGTATGAGAAACGACTATGCTGACTTAAAGAAAGAAGTAGAGAAACCAGCAGAAGATAAAATGGACATGTTAGCATTTCTGAACAAAAACTATCCAACAGCTGACGATTTCCTTCTATCTGACGTCAAGAAGAAGTATAAAGAAACTTTCGGCATTGTTAAAATTTTGACATACTGACAGAAGAAATAGAAGCTACGAAATTGTTTAGAATTTCAAATATACATCGTACAATTCATGTAAAACGCTTATAAAATAACTGGGGTGAAAAATTAGGTGAGAAAACTGGTGAAATCTCACCTCTTCACCTAAAATATATTTTTATTGAATTCAGCAAACAAAATTCTGAGTAAAATAATTTTTAGGGCATGTGTCAAACCGTTGAGTTTTCACAAAATTTAAAAAATAACGTTTACCATGTAAAACGCTTATAAAATAACTGGGGTGAAAAAATAGGTGAGAAAACAGGTGAAATCTCACCTCTTCACCTAAAATATATTTTTATTGAATTCAGCAACAAAAATCATGAATTTTCCTTAAGATAAAAAAAACGCTAATTTTTTTCTAAGAAAAATTTTTATTTTGTATGTAAAGACAGTAATGACAAACATTGAGTTTGAAAACAGTTAGAAAGATAGACAATGACACCAAAGTGGTTAGAATAGGTGATTTAAACGTAAGATACTCAAAGAAATACAACAAATATTCTTTGTCAGACATTATATCTCCATCTGGAAAGAAAACAAACGACTGGGTTAGAAATGCTTCAACTCAGAAAATTTTGACAAGAAATCCTGAGCTTATGATATCAGTAGCATTTCATGGAACAAGAGCATATCTTATAGACAAAAGTCTTAGACCAATAGTTTTGTTATGGATTGACCCAGTTGTTGGATATAATTTCATAACATATGGTTCATTCGACTCAGAACGTTGCAGTGAAGGCTTACTTTACATCGTTCAGAAACCGAAGGACTTCAATACAAAGAGATATAAGATAGGAAGAACATATAATATAACTCAAAGATATGACAGTACAGTCAATAGAGTCAAGGTTGTGTTCGTTAATGATATGAGAGCTGCTGAAACAGAACTGCTTGAAGTTTTTGAGAAAATGTATGGTGCTCCCATGAAAGGTAAAGAAACGTTTGATGTAGATGAGATAGATAAAGCTATAAAATTATTTGACGAAGTTGCTGAAAAATACATGTAAAGCGTTTATTTTTGGTCTTTTGTGAAAGTCAGAAAATAAAGTTAGTTTTATTTTTATTTATTTTTTTATTTTGTATGTAAAGACAGTAATATCAACATCAGAGAACACAACAACTGCTATCGTTCATGAAGCCATAAATGAAGAATATGAATACATACAATATAACAAACAACTTCGCCTCATTCGTTCGGTCAAAGATGACATGTACCAAATGCAAGTATTAATGAATGCTCTTCGTTCTACAAAGCAAGCATATCATTGGTTTGAAAACCAACAGACAAAAGAACTTTTAGAAGAATTTCCTCATATGATTGCTTCCCTCGGAAAACCGAGAGAAGAGATTCCGTATGAAAATCGCAAGAATTTGGCTCCTGGTTTGAAAGGATATTATGTTCATAGACTTTTAGTAAATGCTGTAGCAATGTGGGCTTCACCTCGTTATGCTTGTTATATTTTCATGATGTTAGATGAACTATATAAAGCAGAACGTGGAGAGATGGAAAAGAAACTTCAAGCAAAAGATGAAGTCATTGAATCCAAAGACAAAAGCATACAGAAAAGAATAATAAGTATATGATATATACTGAAGAGTTGGAGAAAGAAGAAGATAAAGATATGGTTATGTTGCATTTAGTCAGAAGAAACAACAAGAGCTTTTATGACCTTGCTAAGATTTACAAATCTGACAGAAACTGGTTCTATCGTGAAAACTTACCGATTTCAATGACACCGAATGAGCAAATAAAGAAATTGTCAAAAGTACTCTTCCTCAAACACACTATGACATCAAAGGTTGCACAATACTTACATTCAAAGAAGACTTACCATTACTGAAGGAAAAAATAACAGAATATTTCGATAACTTCAAAGAGAAGAATAAAAAATATTTTTGCTTAAATGACGTCAGGGTCAATTTCTTCAACCATTTCACTTTCTTCGTCAATGTCAAATAGAAGCTTCTTCAACCTTTGGTAAGAATTTCTGTATAACATCTTTGTTCGTTATTGTCTTCAGAGATGAAGGATAATATTTCACATTTGTTTCACCCTTCTTATATTCTTTCTGTTCGGAAAGATTCATAGCAATACTGAAGAAGTCAATGTTAGAGTTCTTTATGAGAGTATAATGAGTATCTTTGACATTCACGAAGAAACTCTTTTGTTTCAAAACTACTGCTAACTCTTGTGAAGTATAACGTTTGCGGTCAATGACAATAGCTAATGGTCTGACATACTGACCAAACTTAGATTCTTTCACAAACTTCTTGTTAAAGATAACATTAACGTTTGAAGCACCATTGAACTCATTCTTGATGGCAGTAGCGAGAGCATTGTATGAAAAGAACTTGCAATCTTGCATGTGTTTCATTAAAATAAAAATATTAAATTATTTTGAAAAATAACTTAAAAAAATCTAATCTAATTTTTTCAAAAAAAATATTTTTTTATTCCTACTAAAGATGTATCGGAAGTTGTCTAAGTTAGAACACTCGGAAATAAAACAACTTCTTACAGAAGCTAACATAGATGTTGCAAAACATTACGCGACAAACAAAAAAGCACTCGCTGACATTCTCAATGACTACAATGGTGAAATAACTTATGATAGAATTCATGAGTTCATAAATGCAAGAGCATTTCCTTTAAATGACGTTGCTATTGACTTATATCATAGACGTTCAATACCTCATGAAGTAAGGCGTGAGATGTTTGACATAACAAATGCGAACGTTGGTCATACTCGTAAAGCTCTTTCTCATGATGTTCGTCAAGAGATGTTTGAACTTACGAACTCAAACGTTGGTGAAACACGAAAGAGAGATGACACACTGAAACAACAGAGAAGAGAGATGTTTAAAAATGCTATAGAACAAGTTCGCAAAGCTAACGATGTCATTCGTTCCATTGACGACAAACCAAAAGAAGGTGAGAGATGGTTAAAGAAAGATGAGAGAATAGGAAGAGAAATGTGAAGTCAGGCAATAGACTCATTGACTTTAACATCGAAGCTTTAGATGAACCAAACAGAGACTACTTACACAACATTTCGGTAAGGTTTTCATGAGACTCTTAGAGAAGATTAAAATAAACTCACAACAGAGATGGATGGTATGTTATAAACTTGGTGGAAAGTATGAATGTTCTACGTTAAACCTCAATAATATTGGAACATTACTACATCAGCTCTTGAAGGAGAACTTTATATCAGAGATAGAAGCAAATGCTGCAGGTATTGTTGAAATGCACTATGACTTCTTCTTGACAACATAAAGAATCTTACTGAAATAAAGATGTATGATTTAACTGAATATGAAGGCTTAACGATGTCAGATGTTAAGAAAGGAAAGCCACAGAAGCGACCATATAGAGATGAAAGCACACTGACAAATGACCAGAACGCCATTTTGGAAGCTCTTAAGCAAACAGGAAACCCAGCACTTATAGAAAGCTTTTGGAAAGATAATGGTGAAAAGAAGTTTTATAAAAAGAAGCGGTCAGTTCTGGAAGTATCTTTGCACATTACCTATAAATCTTGAACGCTACCAAATCTTCAATGAACTGAACAAAAGAACTGCAACACTTATGACAGAAGACAATTGTTTCGTTTATGCTTGCATTCAGGCTGGAGTAAATGAAGAAACTATTGACCACATGAGAGAAGTCATTCGTGTTAGAGACTTTCCTCAAAGTAAAGTACAAGAAATTTCTGACGCAACAGGTATCATTTAATGTTACCATTGGTTATTTCAATGACTCAAGACATAATGAAATAAAGAGATATATACCAAAAGAATGTAAACTGTTCGAACTATTGACTTACTTCTTGTTGAAGACCACTACATGCTAAATGAAAGATTACCAATGACAACATATTTCATTCGCAAACTATATAGAAATCTTGAAGGAGTGTGGTGGAATGAACATTGAAAACAGATGAAAATATTATACAATGAGAGATGGTAAATACATTGTTCGCATGGATAGAACAACACCGTTATGGGATGTTATGAAAACATTGTGGGAGTGCAAATATTTCGAACCTATTTCTTATGGAGAACTTTTCACATATACGACTGACTTATATAAACAGAACCTTGCACCATTTAAAGATTTGACATGTGCTCCAAAGTATTGTGTACAACTGAAGAAGAAAGCAGAGTCAAAAGAAGTAAATAAAAATAAGTGCAAGTTCATTCCTGAGCACGTTTTCTTTGCTGACTTTGAGTGCAGTACCGATGGCTTTCATAAAGCTTTTAACATCTGTTTTGACAGTGAAGATGGTTCAGTGAGTGAAAGCATTTGGGGTCAAAACTGTGCAACAGAATTTTTGGAGCGACTTCCTGACAAGAGTTTAATATATTTCCATAACCTCAGTTATGATATAAACTTCATCTTAAGACACATGACAGAAGTGAAAGGAACTCCATCATTAAAGGTTCACGAACAATGCAAATAACTGGTTTATATAAAGGACGGGCAATTATTATAAAAGACTCTTACAGTGTTATAAATAAGAAACTTAAACTATTTCCTGCTATGTTTAACTTACAAACAGGACCGAAAGAAGTATTTCCATATAACTACTACAGCAGTGTTTTGTTAGCAAATGACAACAGAACTGGTGTCATTTCTGAAGCATGTAAGTTTGTCAAGGATGCAGATACATTCATGAAGAACATAGATTCCATCAAAGGTTGCAGAATAGATGAGAACCACTTCGACTTAGAAAAATATAGCACGTTTTACTGCAAACAAGATGTAAGAATTTTAAGAGAAGGTTTTGTAAAGTTCCGCAATGACTTATTGAAAGAGTTTGATTTAAACGTTTATGACTACGTTAGTATTTGTTCTATTGCTAACAAATTATTTGAGAACAGAGTGTACTTCCCGAATGGAAATCTTTATGACCTCTCAAATAAACCAAGAGAATTTATTTCGAGATGCATTCAAGGTGGAAGATGTATGCTGTCAGATAACATGAAACAAAAGAGCGAAAAGAAACTCATTGCTGATTTCGACGCTGTTTCATTATATCCATCAGCTATAGCAAGACTTTATACTTTGGAAGGAATTCCAAAGGTTATGAAGGATGAGATGCTAAGCACAGAGTATCTCATGAGACATTTATTCGATGACGACCAAAAGGAACCCATTGGTGAAAAGTTTATGTCTGGCTTCTTTGTTCTCATTAAGATAACAGAGATTGGTATACACAGACACTTTCCTTTAATAGTTTGTGACCCTGAACTAAATCCAGAACTTAACGTTCCAGAAGTTCAAACACTTGCTGTTTAATGTATGTTGACCATATAACATTACAAGACCTCATAAAATATCAAGGTGTCAAATGTGAAGTGTTGCAAGGATACTATTACGATGGAAACAGAGATTTGAGAATAAGAGATGAAGTTAAGAAATTGTTTGAGTTAAGGTTAAAGTATAAGAAAGAAGAAAACCCATTACAAGAAATTATAAAACTCATTCTGAACAGCATTTATGGCAAAACTATTTTATCTCCTATTGAGTCAAAAATAACCATAGTAGATGACAAAGATGCTATAAGATATGCTATAAGAAATTACAACCATATAGTGAAGTTCGAAGGTTTGGATGGTTCAGATAAAACTATTTTCAAGCTAACGAAAAGCAGTTGCAGACACTTTAACTTCTGTCCACTTGGTGTTAACATTCTATCTATGTCGAAGAGAATAATGTGTGAAGTATTCTGTACTGCTGAAGACTTAGGAATGGACATCTTTTATAGCGATACCGACAGTATGCATCTCTACAATGAAGATATCCCTCGTTTAGCTGAAGAGTTTGAGAAACGTTATGGAAGAGTTCTCATTGGTAAAAACCTTGGTCAGTTTCATAGCGACTTCGCAGAAATAACACCTGGAAAACAAAGTTTAGCATACAAGTCAATATTTTGTGGAAAGAAGACCTACATAGACTTACTCACTAACGATTTAAATGAAGTTGCATTTCACTGCAGAATGAAAGGCGTGAAGCAAGATGTTATTGCTTTAACCGCTAATGAAATGTTTCCTGAAGCTATACAATGCTATTACAATGAAGATAAAGGTTTAATGGTTCCGCAAGGAAAATTTGACAAAGACTCTGAGTTCAGTGTCATGAAACTTTATAAAGCACTTTATGACGGTCAAGAGATTGGATTTGACTTATGTAAGTCATGTCAACCTTGCTTTGAAGAGAAGTTTAACTTCTCAATAACGACTAAAACAAGTTTTATTCGTAAGTTGAAGTTCTGAGGTCATTTCTTTTTGTCAGCAATGAGGTCATGAATGAGGTCAGCAATGAGGTCATGAATGAGGTCATTTATTTTTGTCAGCAATGAGGTCATTCGTGATAAAAATAAAGCTAGCGTAGATTTTACAATACTGCGATGGTAGAGTTTAAGAGTTGTGCTTCAATGTAGAGACAGTCCTTATGGTCTGGAGGTAAGAGCACTGGGCAGTTATGGTCATGAGTGGAGAACATGTCTATCCAAAACTCACGATTGAAGCCAGTTAATTTATAGTATTTAGGGTTAGGAAGTGGTGAAGTTCTTGTATGACCAATGAACTCATTTTCAACTCCCTTACTTAAGTTTGAATATAATATAGCTTGCTTTCTATCCCAAATGCCAGGTGTTACAATCTTTGAAAATTCATTTTTCCTCGGAAGCATTGCTTCATAATTGAAAACATTCTTGAAATCATCACTTGGTTCAGAGATTTGAAATCTTATACATAATGGATTTTCTTTCTCTTTAGCGACTTCATTGAATGGTGAGAATACAATGAATTGACAGTCATGAGTTCCATCTTCATTTTCATTAAATTCATAATGAAAGTCTATAAGTTGTGGCTGACTACCTTCTTCCTTCAGTTGTGCAAGAAACTCACGTAAAGGCTGTAAAGTTTGTACTTCAATGTTGAACTTTTTCTCGAACATCTCATTAAATGAAATCATACATTGCAACAATGTTGTATCGTCTTTAAAGTATTTGTATATGTGAATGTTTTGGGCGCTTAAAGACTGTTCGTCATTTTCTATCTCGACTTGAAGTATAAAGTCAACCTTTCTGAAAGCACGTGTTATATACATAGATGTTATGCCAATGTACTTCTCTTCATTTATGTTCACAATCCAGTCTGTTGGAAACTTAAACGTTACTCTGTTCCCCTTTATTTTGACGTCAGGGTTTTCACTACTGAACGCAACAGTTAAAGGTATTTGTCTATACATTTAATTCGGATAAAAATAAACCATTTACTCTTTCTTTGCTTCAGCTTCTTTAGCTTTTTGTTCTTCCTTTGCTTTTGCTTCTTCTCTAGCTTTCTTTGCCAGCAAACGTGGGTTCTTTTGTCTTCCAGCAGCTAATGCAGCAAGTTGTTTTTCACTAAGTTTTCTCTTTGGTCTCTCTGGCTTTTGTTCTTGTTTTTGTTCCTTCAGTTCGGATAAAATTTGCTCGCGAATTTCTTTCTTCAATGCTTCAACATCTATGACCCCTTGGGTCTTGTCCGTAGGGCTTGTCTGAGTCATTTGACTGCAGATAAAAAACAAAATTAAAACTTTAACCGATGTAAAATGAGCTTGTCAAAATCAGAACGAGAGTCTATTATATTAAATGACGCCAGAGGAATACAACATCCTTTCTATTACGTAAGTCAGAGTAAAGATGGTAAAATATATGTAAGAAAAAGAAAGGTTCCATTAGCGAATGCAGAAAGCGACAACATTAAGGTGCATGGCAAGGGTGAAGTCCACGAAGCCCATATAAAACCTTCTGTTCAAACTGAGCCACCAAAAGAACCAGAAGAAAAGAAGCCAGATGTACTTTCAATAACGAACCAAGAGCTTATTGCAAAGTTCGTGAATTTCATTGAAAAACAAACCGAGTCAACGAACCCTGACCCGCCAGTGAAAGAAGTTGAGACAAAAGAGAATGTACAGTTCATTGAAAATGTCAAGAAACAACTTCCACCACGAATGCCAAGAAGAAGAGTGAGAATAATGAAGTAAATAGATATTTTTATCTGAAGTAAATACATGCAGAACGAACAGCTAAACGAATTTACTCCAGCAGAGCATATTCATCAGATTCGCTCATATTTCGATATCATAGACAATGCAGTTCAAATTGGTGACACTAATAGAAAATATTCTGACGCAAAGATTCCATCACAACCTGGAACTGCTAAAGATAACACATGGGTAACATTCAATCTCTCACTTCCTGGTGAAAATATGTTGGACCTTTACAATACATTCATTACGTATAAAATGGAAGGTCAATTTATTGTAGATAAAGAAATTGGTTCAGGTTCCAATAAAACAAACCCACCAGGATTTTGGATTGGTTTCGATGACGCTTTCTATGCAGTTGCTGGATATCAAATCCTTACAAATGGTCGTATCGTATATTCTCAAGACAACGCAAGAGAAGAAGCATATATAACTTCAAACTCACAAACTACCGAACAAATAAAGAAAGTAGATGTTTTCTCAAAGACTCGACATGAAGATGTATGGAGTCATTCGGGAACATGCAGAACAGGACAAATTGTTAGTGGTCCAATTACAGCAGGAAAATCATTTGATTTTAAGCTTCGTTTAAGAATTCCTGTTAGAAGATTCCTTCCATTAGAAGCTATTCGATTTATTCCAGCTTTTGCAGGAAACATTCAGCTTAAAGTAAAGTTCAGTAGCGACGCATTACAATGCACATCTATATCTGTAAATGATATCATTGCTTTCAATCCAACTCTTAAAGTTGCATTTGCTTCAGATTCAAATCCACCGACAAATAAATTTGTTCCATGGAATGAACCATTCACTATGATAACGAAGGCAATAGAAGCTAGTGGAACAGTTACTATTACAACTGTAACCAGCAACTATTTCGAACAAAGATGGATTTTAATGAATGTTTCATTCATCCAAAGTCATTCTCTTTAGACCCTAACATTTATCCAGAACTTGTAGAACATTATACAAACGAGGCTTTATGTTTTCCTGTTAAAGTTATGGATTGGATTCCTATGGACGGTTCATTCTCAAAGAATACAGATAGTTCAAGTGCAACATTTACAGCAGCTTATACGCCTATTAATGTTAAAAGTATTTGGGCACTATTTAGAAAGAAAGACAACTATTATGTTAATTTTGAGAACCCTAAGTTTAAATATCTTCAGCTTTCCATGGGAGCTTATGGAAATATGCCTGCAGAACCGAAAAATCATATGGACCTGTATTTTATGAAATGGTTGCGAACGCCTGCAATACAAACAATGATATGATAGGATTTAATGAAGATGTTATGAGGTCATTGGTGGATGATGGTAGTGTGGAACATAAATGGGATAGCTATGACAACACACATTTCTTATGTGGTTTTCCAACAGAAGTGGACTTTTGCTTCCAGCAAGGTCAAACATCTACTGCTCCAATAACATACAAATTGTCTGTTAAAGGACCTATTGAACTAGCAACCGAAAACGTACCAAAGCCACTTATTGGATTTATGAGGGATTGTTGCTTTGCCATACAAGTAAGACAGTCAGGCATACCAATAATAAGATTAGATGACTATAACTTAGCAGCTGACGACAGTGAGGAATAAAGGATGAACGTTTATTTTTAAAGCTTATAAATGAGTTCTTCATCAAGCTCTCGTGAACCTTCACCATCTATGAAACAAACTTTACCAAACGATTATGGAGCACCTATTGAATATTTCTTACGAGCTGCACAATGGCAAAGAGCAGTTTCACCAAGGTTAGGTGTTCCACCAGCTCCTGTCAAAAATAGCATTTGGTCAAGTCCCTATATAAGATATGGTCTCCCACTAGGTTTGCTAGGTACAGCAGGAGCAGTTATGATGTTGAAAAGAAATAAAGCAAATGTTGTAAATAATACTGAAGTAGCTGAAGTTAAACAAACTCCGACACCTTCGCCAAAACCAACGTCAAAACCAATGCCTTCACAAACAACACCTTCAATGACTCCTGAACCTATGGAAGTACAAACTCCTGTTCAAAAGTCAACTCCTAAACCGACTCCAACATTTAAACCAGAACCTACTCCTCAAATAAATCGTAAAACTCCTGCGTTTCCTTACTGAAAAAATAACGTTATTTTATTTAATATTAAAATTTTTATTTGATTGAAATGACGACTAAAGTCACTGAAGCAATGAAACAAAAGTTTTTGGTAGAATACATTAAATCAGGAACTATTCCAGAAGGTTTTTACATTCATACTATGAAGGATGGTAGAGTTCAGTTTAGAAAGATAAAGCAACCATTAGATAAAGAAGGAATTTTGAGAAAGATTAAACTTCATGAGGACAACATTGCTGAACTTAAGAAGAAGTTAGAAGAGTTGGAGAAAGGAAGAGAGTTATAAAGCAATGAATTCAACAGGGTGAAAAAACAGGTGAAAAAAGAGGTGAGATCTCACCACTTCACCTAAATTTATTTTTGCGCTATGTTTTCATACGTGTGAGGGTGGTGATATCATTAATTTTTAAGTTTATTTTTTATTTTATTTTTATATAAATGACAGAACAAAAGCAACTCATTCGAATTCCACAGTATAACAAACATACATTTAAACATTTATTCTTCCTTCCTGAGCATAACATGTTCTTTCAAATACATCCGAGACCAGTTGACTTTTCATTGACTGTTTATAAAGATAGAAATAGTTATATCATTAAACCATACGATGACGAAGGTAAGTTATGTAAATTGTACGTTAAGAAGTTAGAGAAAGTTTATGGCTTCAAGTATGACTACAATAGGGTTAACACTGATGATGAAGATATTGAGGAAAATTTATGAGAACATTAGTGAAGTCGTTAGTGAGAACGATAGTGAGAACGTTTATTTTTTACATTAGTGAGTTCGTTAGTGAAGTGGTTGGCGGCTTTGTAAAGTGTCAAATTCACAAGTATTGGGTAAGGTGGAACGCAGTGCCGCCGTACCCAAGACTTGTATACTAACTAACGACAAAAATAATAATGGATTTTCATCAATAATTATTGCATCGCAAGAAGGTCATCTTGAAGTTGTTAAGTATCTTATTTCAATCGGAGTCAATCCAAATGATAAAAATAATAATGGAACTTCACCAATACTTATTGCATCACAAAACGGTCATCTTGAAGTTGTTAAGTATCTTATTTCAATCGGAGTAGATCCAAACGACAAAAATAATTATGATAGTTCTTCACTTCATTTAGCTGCAATTAATGGACATTTTGAAGTTATTGAATATTTAATATCCATTCATGTAAATGTTAATGATAAAAACAAAGTGGGAAAAACTGCACTTGATATTGCAAGGGAAAAGGAAAATGAAAATCAAAATTATAAAAAGATTATTAATCTTCTTTTGCAATCAGGTGCACAATAAATCATATTTTTGACTACTTCCTCATTGAAAATAATAAATCCTAAAAAATAACTTATCTGTATTATCACAATATTCCTTATCAAAATAAATTAGTCTTGAAATCAAAATCAAAAATTCAAGACTAAAATATTATCATTAGTGATTTTTAAAGGTGCTCTTACGCTTTGTTGATACAATCTTAAATTTTCTTCTTTAAAGTTAAATTAGATCTCATACAATCTTCCATGAGAGTTCCACCAGCCAGAAGTGCAATACCTGTGCTACATAACTATTAGGATATAGTAGCCAGACTGTGTATGTATTGCGCTTCAATAATTACATTGAATGGGAGGAAAATTATGGATCAGTTCACGCCTGCAATAATTCAAATTTTGATTTGTCACTTTTTATATGAGATACAAGAGAAGAGTTTTATTCATTTCATTTATAGTGGTTTTTTTTCTTTTAGCATTTTACGACCATATGATCCAATTATCACGTTAACGATAAAGGCAAAACAACTTTTCATTGAATGTCTTGACAAATTTAAAAATGTTAATCCTGATTCTAATAAAATACTCAAAATTCAAGGTGTAAAAGAAGGATTATTCCCAGAATATTTAGATCAATTAATTCCTCTGCATTTAACTTACGAGACTCCTCCAATTGGTAATTTTTATGGTTTTTTGAAAAACTCTCAATATTTACGTTATAAAAAGTACTATGCAAATATGAGCTTAGTACCAATATTCAAAACAAAACGGACAATAGATATTGTAACCGATTTCAAAGGAAAAATAGCAATATACAAAGATGCTTATGCAAATCAATTCGGTGAATTTGTAATAAATAATTATGTAATCAGACCTCCATATGATTCAGGGCTAAGTTGTGTACGTGAATATCATGAAGGCCCAGTAGTATTTGAATGCGATAAAGCATGCGTTTTTGGCCATGTATGGATTCATAAATTTGGGCATTTCATTGATGATTGTCTTGCTCCTTTGACATTGATTCCTGAAGATTTTTTAGAAGACTGTGTAGTAATTTTATCAGAACAAACAAGAAAATTTGGAGAAGATGTTCTTAAAGTTGTTGGTGTAAGGAAATACATTTATATTTCAAACAACACATGGGTACACGCTAACAAACTTGCCGTAGCTGTTGAAGGAAGATCATATCTTATGCATTTTGGTGTTCCATTACAAAAATTAGTTGATATGCTAAGAATTTACTTTAAAGTATTAAATATTAAACCAACAAAATATGCAGTTATGAATAGAGATTTAAATTCTCCTAGACATATTACTAATATCAATGCACTTATGGCGGCCATCAAAAACAATATAAAAGATGTAGAATTCGAAGAAATTGAAGATAAATTAGGAACAATCGAATCATATGCAAAATTTTATCCTTCAATTAAATGCGTTTTATTACCAACAGGAAGCAATGCAGTTAAAACAATTTTTATGAATCCTAATTCTGTTGTAATTATTGCAAGTAATGAAATGTTTGATTTCTCAGTCGTATGTTCAATATTATCAGTTCATGTTAAAGTGGTTTATTTCTTTCATTACCAATATCATTTTAATGACATTACAATTGATGTTGATCTTGCATTACAAGCTATTGAAGTAGGAGTCTATGCATCTATTAATGGAAACTTTCCAGAACCGAAAGAATTCATCTCATTTATTGATTATATTCCCAATTTCAAACCAATACATATTGAAGGATAAATTGAAATATAATCAACAAGCAATCAATGTTATGAATCATCGCAAAGTATGTTGAAGAATTTATTTGATAATTTTTCTCTTGAACAAAACTTTTATGGGCAAAACATTTTGTGATTGTATAATGAACGAATTATTGATCGATTACTTGTTAATATGCAGTAATTAAATATAAGTGAATAAGAAATCCTGAAAAAATGAAATTTAAATCCCAAATCCACAACTGTTCATGAAGGTGATACTCCTCTACATTATGCACAATAAAATTTATTGAAAAAAGTATTGCAAACTTACTCATTTCTCATGGAATAGACACCAATTCAAATGATTACTATTGAAATATTTTTGAGTATTTACTTTCTATAATAACTTAAGGAATCAAACTACAATTAAATAATTTAAGAGGCCGAATCAAAAATAAAATATAATCTTCACAATTTTAATATCAATCTTCTAATTCTGAAGATTATTAACTGTTCCGAGCCATAATTAATTACTGGTAATTGATTTTTTAGGGCCTACATGCCTTGTGGAATCATTTTGTACCTTAGAATATGCAGGCATAATTAATTCAAAAGTCATTCATCACAAGAAACAAAAATGAAAATATTAATTATATATAGTTGTAATTTTATAGGGTTGTTAGATTCCCGACGATAGGTGTCTTGGAAGATTTGCCTGGTGTCATCATAGTGTCTTTAAATCAAAAATTTTATTTTGGAGTTAGTTTTATTGATTTTTCAATAAAAAACATTTCTAAAACAAGAAAATAAAACGATAAAATATTTATATTTTATATAAGGATCTTATATATTTAAAATAAATATCATTTTATTTTTTTCATTGGTGTCTGTCAAACCATAATACACTATTCAAAAATTCAATGTGTCTTGCGGTTTCAAAAGACACCTTCAAATTGAACGATAGCACAGACACTATTGAATTTTACCCATTTTATTTAGTTTTTACCCTTTTTATTTTTAAGAATTAATGACTGAAACAACCGTTTTGTTATGACCTCAATCACTTTTATTTATTATTTTAAATATTATTTAATTTTATTATTTGAATAGGCCAACTTATATTTGAGTATAGATCCAAGGTGATGTGATTTTTGCATCCCTGGGATGGACGATACACCCAAAGTGTCACCTTTTTTGGGATAACATGAATTTTAAATATCATGAGAGTTCTGCAAACCATATGCACAATATCTATTCAGCCTGACTTCTTGTATATATGAGTTAGACTTCTTAAATATTGTGCTTGGCGCGATATAAGCATTTCCGAGATTACCATCGTGCTCTATAGTATGCTACTTCTCCCTGGTTCTAGCTCAGTTCCAAGGATATTGGCGTTCAAGGATTTGGCAAGGTCCTTCCGAAGTCTCTCATTCGATGAGAGATTTCGGAAGAATCTTGCCTTAAAGTACTCCAACTCTTGTTCTTTTGTTCCTAAATAGTGAGAAAAGTTATTTGACTACTTAAGGTAGAGATTATCCGAGGTCCTCATTTGATGAGAGGCCTCGGATAATCTCTGCCTTAAAATTGTACACTTGTAGTCCATGAGAGTGTAAGTATACATTGATAGGACAGCTTTCTTCTGAAGTCTTAGATTTGATGAGAACCTCAGAAGAAAACTGTCCTATTTTATAGTAAAAGGAGTTTCAGGAGCTCCAAAGCTCCCTTTCGTAAGGATTAGGAGCTTTGGAGCTCCTGGTTCGTAGATGTGTTTCGCATCTTTCATCAGCAAAGGACATTTACCATCTGGGACTCTGTTGATGGAGACTCAGGAGCTCCAAAGCTCCCTTTAGTAAGGATTAGAAGCTTTGAAGCTCCTGGTTCGTAGACGTGTTTCGCATCTTTCATCAGAAGAGGCCCAAATGGTAAATAGCCTCTGCTGATGAGCTTCAGGAGCTCCAAGGCTCCCTCTCGTAACGATTAGGAGCTTTGTAGCTCCTGAAGGTAAGGTAGGATTGCTCTGATCTCTAATCAGTAGATGCCATGCCTCATTATGAACTCTACTGACAAGAGATCAAGAGCTCCAAGGACTCCCTTTTTAGTTAGTGGCGTTCTCACCATTCAGTAGGATTGCTGATCCTACTAATGAAGTGATCACTTAGTATACGTTTTGAATAAATTGAATTTTTTTTTAGAATTTAGTATTTTTTATAGACATCACATGTATATTATAAATACATAAATATATTCTTTAATTCAAAAAATTCAATTCGGTTTTGGGATGGGTATCCCAGCCCAAGTATTCAATTTTATTCAATTTTTTAAGAATTTTGGGTTGGGATGCCCAGACCAAAACAAGCTTTATATTTTGATGTGTAGATACGTATGTGTGCATCATTGTTGTGTTATATATTATGTTTTTAATGAAAAAAAAATCTGGTTCAAAAAAATTATCACTAATTAGTTGATAATGATAAAGAAAAAATAGATAAATTGTATGTTTTGAGAGTATTTATCCACATTCACTCATATGAATTTCATTAAATAGTGTCTTTTTACTCACCAAATTTATTTTGAATTATTGAAATCAAAGAAAAAAATCAGAAAAATTTCTCGAAATTTTTATTTTCAAAAAAATTTGGATTTTATATTGAAAACTGACACCGGGAGGACGATAGGGCTGGGATTGGAGATACCCCGCTCACTTGGGAAAAATACGGATCTATAATTTGAGAAGCTCAATTTGAGACCACTTAATACATTGAAATATCATAAATATTGAAATATTAAAAAGTGTATTTCAAAATATTGAAATTATAAAAATTTATAATACTGAAATTGAGACAAATTAATAAATTCAATGTGTTTTTTTTGAAATAACTCTCAAATATTATTTGTTTGTTTATTTAATGATGAATAAATATGATTGCTTTAGTCAATCATAAAAACTAATTTAAGTTTAAAATAATGAAGAGATTGGGACAAAGTTGCAATTCGGCACTTTTTGTAAAAAATGGGGTCATACTCATAATGAATAGAGACTTATAGCCAAGTCTTGATATCATGCAGGGAGAATATACATTGATAAGCAATTATATTTTATAGTAGTAGTATTCAGAAATTCTTACAATTTACAATACAATTTTCAAAAATGGATAAAGACTAATAGCCAAGTCTTGATATCATGCAGGGAGAATATACATAGATAAGCAATTATATTTTATAGTAGTAGTATTCAGAAATTCTTACAATTTACAATACAATTTTCAAAAATGGATAAAGACTATAGCCAAGTCTTGATATCATGCAGGGAGAATATACATAGATAAGCAATTATATTTTATAGTAGTAGTATTCAGAAATTCTTACAATTTACAATACAATTTTCAAAAATGGATAAAGACTAATAGCCAAGTCTTGATATCATGCAGGGAGAATATACATTGATAAGCAATTATATTTTATAGTAGTAGTATTCAGAAATTCTTACAATTTACAATACAATTTTCAAAAATGGATAAAGACTATAGCCAAGTCTTGATATCATGCAGGGAGACTCTCTACAAATACAAAAATTGATTATCATAAGGAAATACAAATTTATCAATTTTCATGTGAAAATTACATAAATTTGTTCTCCAATAAATAGCAATAATACTTTGAATGTTATATTAAGTAATATAACTTCAGGTAAATAAGCTTACACTTCAAAAATATACTGTTTATTCATTAATTTTAAAAAAAGTCCAAATTATCTAATCTTGCTTACTCTTCCTTTAAACTTCTTTGTGCCAAATTTAATATTGCCTTTAAAGATGGAATAAGGACATTAGGTTCAATCCTTCGGCTTTCGACAATTTCCAAAATGTGTTGAATTAATTTCAAACATTCATCGTGTTTTGAAGCTCTTTGCTCAACAATCTGATTACCTGCCCTTGTAAGAATTCTTACTGCTCTTTCTTCATTCAAAACATTAGCGACTTGAACCTTAATAATCGCATTTGGAATCACAACAGTGATGAGAGTTATGACGATGTCATCAATGCGCTCATTTTTCTTACCCAAGAAAAATGTTTGCTTTAATTGATGAAAGTGTGATTCCGCAATGTTATTCGTGGAATCACCTTCTCCACGATATAACATCATCCAATGTTCTTTGGTTCTTCTCCATTGTTTATCGAAATACTTCAAAGCGCGCGGTTCTTCTTCTTCTAACATTGTTGTCAAGAACTCATATGTTTCATCAGACTCTTCAGCCAGCTTTTCTGCATTCGTTGCATCTGCACGTAATGTCAAAAAGTCCATTGCTAAATAGAAGTTCTCAAAATTCTGTGGATTGTCAAAATAGCTTCCAACTTTTGCACATGCGCGTAAAACATGCACAGCGCACCAACTGAGCCGCGCAAGAGGAAATCCGTCCTCAATTGCGCGAGCAATGTTTAGCGCACAGTCAGCGCTCCAATGCTGTGGATCCAGGTGCGCAAACTCACAGAATTTCACCAAACATTCTTGAATTTTTTCAGATGTCTGAGGGTTCACTAAAAAATAGCAAAAGGGGAAAATTGTGTTTTGACTTGTTTTCATTGTTACTGCAAACAATTGGATCTTTCCTTTAATTAAAGAATGAGTGGAATCGACGTGGAGAGGGTTATCAATGCTATGCACCAATTCTTTTGCAGCAAAAGGTGCATATATGATTGTAAACTCGGAAAAATCTCCATTGTAATCAAATTGAACGAGATCATCTGGGCACTCTTCCTGTAAATTATTCAAAAATGCTTCCAAAGAAGTGTAAGGATCGTTTGATAATCTTTGTGCAATAATCTCATCAAGGCGATAAAATTTGTGCTTTAAAGCATCAGTAGACTGCGCGAAAAGTTTCATCGTTTCTTTGTTATTCGTATCAATTCCGAACTTATCAAAAAATGCTTTTTGAGCAAGAAATTGCTTTCCACCGTTTTTAATATAAAGTTCGATCCATTTTTGATAAAATTTACTCGCGTAATGTGAACCCATTTCAACTCCTATATGATGGCAATGTTC